GAGCTGAGTGGGAGTAACTGCTCTGCCCTTCCAAGTCTTGCAGACGAACCAAGCTACCTGGGCTGTCATCATTAATGCCCTGGAATACTGTGGACCCGCCTGGCTCAGGAACTGGACTAGAGACAGCCAAAGGATTGATTTGACATTCTGTTGCCAAACATGTCACCCTGGAGCCAGGCCTAGCTTACCTCTGCCCAAGTTAGTAATTTGTTGAATCAGCAAAGGAGGATGTCATTCGGCCCACAGCTCCTGGTGCTGGATGTTTTACTGGAAAGAAGTTCTTCAGCCAAGCCCACTCTCCAGTCCCATACTCTGTCCTTCAAATACTCAACCTGTTCAGAAACGTGTAGGGAGCTGGAGGATTTGGAAGGATGTGGGGAGCTAGGAAATAAACCTAAACTAACACTTGATGGGCTGAGTTTTCTCACTTCCAACGAGTGAATTGTTGTACCAGGAAGATTAATCCTTCCAGTTCGACACATTCTGGAATCCTGGCTCCTTCCTGCAGTTTATAAAACAAAAAGCACCAGTTTAGGGCTGTGATTATCCCTGGCCACAGTGGCTGGGCAGACTGAGCGGCACGACTTGCTAGACTGGCCTGTTTTGAAGTCTAAATGTGCACCTCTTGCTGTTCGTTACTGTTACTTTGCTCACAGCAGATGGTGACATGGAAAGCCAGCTCTAGGCTTGTTGGATGAGCCAGCGCAGTGCTGCAGCATCGTGTGTGCACAACCTCCACACATTACGTGGAGTCTGTCAGGCACAGTCAGGAGTTGACAGGAGCTTGGATCAAGCTGTCTTGTGCCTAAAGCTTGACTTTTAATGTATGAAACCGTTTCCTCTTTGCATTGTCACAATGGAGGATAATACATAATAAATAAATAATCCTTGCATTTGATATAGTGCCTTATCAAGTCTTCCAGACGTCTCACAGAATATACTGTAAAGTGAATTGACTGTATGTTTGCGGGCGAAACGCAGCAGCCAATTGCGCACAGCAGTGTCCCACACACAGTCATAATGCAGAGAGCAACAAGGATTGACTATGAAGCTGACATCTCACTTTGGGGCTTGAGAGCAAAGCTCGGGCACATCAACAATTTGCATTTGAACGCCAGCAAACAGCCCTGTGTCACTGCAGGATGCCTGGACTTAGGGATGTACACTGTGAAGTTCGTGGGGTGGTTTTATTTTTATGCTGACAGCAGCTGTCACAGCACTTAGTGCTATGGATAAAATAATCCTTGCAGTTAACACGTTGTCGAAATATGTCAAAGTGTTTAGTCCACAAACAGTGACTGATTTTATTTGGAGATAAAGTTTATATCTCTAGGACAGGGGAGAGAGAGAAACTCCCTTCTCTTTTTGAATCTTATCAGGGGATCTTTATCGTTCACCTGAACAGGAACAGATGGGACCTCAGTTTAATGGCTCAATTGAAGGATGGCACCTCCAACAATACAGCTCTCCCCCAGCACACTTTGGAGTGTCAGCCTAGACTGAGCTTAAAGTGGTTTAAACCCACAACATCTGACTGTGAGGCTGAGCCAGCTTGAGACTAGACGCAGGGTAATGTCATCACAGAGGAATTAACAATTACAAATGATCATTCTCAGAGCAGCATTCTTAACTGCAAGCAGAATCCTTGGCAAAAAAGTAAAATGTTATTTTGTGTGATCAGAATTCCTGCTGCGGCTCTCAGTGTGGTTATTCCAGCGATACCTGGCTGGAAGAGTGAGAGAAAATGTATATTAAATTGCAAAAAGTGATGAAAAATACGAGGAAGGGTTCACGTATGTAAATCTTTAAAAGTGGGAGGGTGCAAATTAGCCGAGTGGTTAAAAGCAAACTAATTGGATAGTGAGATTTATAAATAAAACCAAAGAATCTCACAGCAAGGAGGTGATGCTGAAGCTGGTGATGCTAATCATTGGTTAGGCCATCCTGGCTGCCCCACTTTCACAACCATGTGAAAGTGGGACAGCCATGGAGAGGGCCTGGAGGAGATTTACTGCAACACTGTACTACCGGGAAGAGGGGTTTGATTCACGAGGAGACATTGGAGACTTGGGACTATGTTGGGATCAGTGAAGTTGCAAAGAGACCTGATTTGCCTAATGTGGAAGTGAAAAACGACTTCTACTTGCTGTAACAGGTGGACCTCAATATAAACAAACAAACAGAGGTTAGAATTTATGTTACACAGAGGATTATAAGGACTTTGCCAAAAACCGTGGTTGAAGCAGATCTATGGTAGCTTTTAATATTAATAATAATAATAATCCTTGCATTTATGTAGCACCTCATCACATTGTAGAGATGTCTCAAAGCGATTCACAGGATAGACTGTAAAATGTGTATTTATGGGCAAAACGTAGCAGCTAGTTTGCGCATAACAAGTTCCCACAAACAACCCTGTGACCAATTTTTTGTTATTTGGGGAACTGTTGGCCAGGATATCGGGAGAAACTCCATTCTCTTTTCAAATAGTGCCATGGGATCTTTAACGTCCATCTGAACGGGCAGGACTTCAGTTTAAAGTCTCATCCGAAGGATGGCACCTCCGACAATACAATCCCTCTCTCCTCCCCGCCCCCCCCCCCCCCCGCAACACTGCATTGGAGCATCAGTCTGGACTATATGATTCCAAGTCCCGATGAGGGGCTTATACCCACAACCTCTGAGAGAGGAGGGAGTGGTACCACTGAGCCAGGCTGACACTTTCAATAACGTATGTACATTTTGGTGGAGTCGGTGATGTTAGGGAGGAAAGCAGACTTGTTCAGGATGAAAGGTTTGAAGGAGAGTTGAGGATCCAACAAACCACTGAGTTGGACGGGGAGATTGGTTCGGGTTGTGCCTGGGATGAGGAGGTTGTGGAGAGAACCTCCATTTTGTTGGCATTGTTGCGTTATGACACATTGATGTATTGAGCTTCTATGAAGGGAGATTGTGACTGATTAATGGACCATACTGCAGGTGTGAGGGTGCTCTGAGCTTGGCGGGGCCTCCTGGGTCAGTGCCTATTGAACAGGTGTCTGGCGTGTGTCCTGTTGTAGTGGGGAGGAATCAAAAGGCTTGGCATTCACCGTGGAAAAAGGTTGGATTTCCAGCATGCTCATTTCTATGGGCAGGAGGACGCCACTGGTGGATTGTATCTACCTGCTGTTCCATCTCCACATCCACAGTGTGGCCTGAGTGTAGAGGGAAACAAATTGCTCCTGAGCGGGCTTGTTAGAGGGAGTAATTCGATCAATGTTGTGTCACAGAAACTTTATAAACCAAACTGTGATACAGCTATTTCACACAGGATGAGGGGAGCCATGGATTCATGTGGATGGGGCAGTGGTGTACATTTAAACCAATATAGCAGGGGAGAGGAAGGAACAAGACAAAGAAGCAAAAAGCGAAGAAAACATTGCGTTTGCCTACAAAATACACAATTGATAATCATGGGTATTTACAGCACAGAAAGAGGCCATTCAGCCTGCACCGCGCCTCAGGACAAGGCAATCATTCTTATGCCCACATCCTTTCAAGTCTTTAACTTTCATATACTGTACTTGTCTTCTTCCCTCTTGAAAACCCCCATGGACTCTGTCACAGTCACTACACTTTATGGTAATTCCTGTAAAACACTTTCTGATGTGAAAGGCACAATGTTATAGTTATATAAAATAGTTAAGGGATTTATTTAGCAAGGATCAAAGAGAACAGGCAACTAAGAAAGGTGGGGAAACACATTAGAAGTATTACAAATTAATGTTTTGGTCAGCCGGGTGTCTGACGTGTGAAAACCCGTCACCATGCTTAAGAGTATCTAAACCAGTTCCACATATGTATACCACCTCAAACACAAGAAACAAGTCAATGAAGCGGCAAGGACAGTGACGAGAATAGAGAGTAACACTAGAGAGCAGCTAAAGGAGAGAAAGAAAATCGTACAGCAGCAAAGAGGGAATATGAAAAAAGACTTGCAAAAAGACGGTCTCAAGAGTATCACAGCATTTATAAATACATCAAGAGGAGAAGGTGGATCTACAGTCATTCGATCCAGGTGTGACAGGAGCAAAAATAATCCTTTTGATATAGTTTCATATCGTGTTGTCAAAACATATTGAAGCAGTTCACAGGATTTACTGTATTTGATTATGTTTCAACTGAGTGAAGATGCGGGGCTGGCTGTCATGTCGGCCGGGTGTGAGGGAGGGTGTTGGAGTGGGCGAGTTCCAGATTGGGTGCGGGAGAAGAAGTGTTTATTTTCTTGAGCGCTGGTCTGTTTCTGTGTGCAATCTCAATGCAAACTCATCGCGGGGGAAACAACATGACTGGTGATTTGTATCTTTGTTGATATGGCTCTCTGGCTGTGGTGTGGGCAGGTCGGTGCCTGCTGGTGGGCAGCTACACTTGGGGCTATGTTCACATGGCGTCTGCTCCTCGTGACCTTACTCCAGCATCACCGCAGACCTGGGGAAGGAGGAAGCGAGCAGAGGAAATGTATTGTAGTGGGTACAAGCACCTCAGGGCAGGAAGTCTCGAGGGACAGAGCCAGTGACCTCTTCAGAAAGCGCCCACGCCCCCATCATTCCTGTGTGCTTAGTGCTGGTACTGAGAAGGGTGGAGACCCTGACCTGACCCAGGGAGCCTGAGACCTAGGCCACATTGACTGGCCAGAGGGTGGTTAATGTTTAGAGTTGGGGGAGGGGGTTTGCGAGCGCGCAAGTTTGTCAGACTCTGTCACTGTGAAGCTCTCCGCGTGAAGGGCGCTATATAAATTTAAGTTGTTGCTGTTGTAAGGGGGTGTGGCAGACTCCGCGGCCCCAAGCCCAGGTACCTGCATCCCTCCACGATTATTAAGTTGTGTTGTTGTTAGGGGTTACACCCCCCACGAATAAACCTGTGTTATATAGTGAGAGTTTCTGTGTGCATCAGTATCTGTCTGCACTATGAATGGCCACTGGGGCGGAGTTGTTAAATTACATTTTTCCTCTCTTTTGCAGAGTGACGACAACTGGGTTAATGGAAGGAGTGAAGAAAGTCAACAGAGCAGCCAACGGCCCCACGGAGTCCAGAGGAGAGCAGGACCGGGTGGTGTGAGGGTGATCGAGCAAGACTGCGTGGTGTGAGGGTGGTCCTGGAATGAGATTGGCTCAAGTCAGTCCTGGACCGAACATGAACCAAAAACACTTTATTCCAGATTCAAAAAAAAAAGTGCTTGCGCACACAATTTGAACTCAATGTTTTGTTTGAACAGAAATTCCCACCAGGTATTTGTAGTTTTCCAATCAATCAACATGTGGTGCACAAGACTGGATTTGGTGCCTGTCTTGGTCCCAGTCACTGTGTATTGCTGACCTGCCTCAGTGCATCTCAAGTCCATTTCTAGCTTCTGAGGGGGTTTATTGCTGTAAATTTCATGGTGTTTAGGACCTGGTTGGCTGAGGGTTGGTTCCATTTGCTGATGTACAAACCTGTGTAGCTGAGAGACCCGCACAGTAGTTTAGTGACTGGCTATGGTTGTAGGTCAGGTCTGCAAATTGTCAACAGCCATACTTGTGATGAACTGAATTGGTTTCAGGAGCGCTGTGCACAGGGTCACAGAGTGCTGTGTTGCTCGTGGACAGGTGGGGGGTGGGGGGGAAACTCTAGCATAACTCCAATCAACAATGTGGATTTAATGGAGCAGAACATTCTTCTGCTGAATGAAAGCTCGTCTCAAAAGCAGCCCACACCTTTCAGAGGACAAAATAATAGGTTGTTAAAAAGTAGGTCATGCAGCGAATGGTATCGTTGTAAATTTTACTTTACAATGGACTCTGCTCTTTACTGTACAGCTGCTGCGTATGTTCATGTTGCCGAACAGTCGTCGAGAGCTGTACTTGTAGCAGTGCTGAACTTACAGCAGGGCTGTAATCAGCTCCTCGCTCCAACACCAAACTGAACCCTCACCTTCCTCACTTAGACGACTGGGAATTAAATTTAGGAGTCAAGGCTTTTCTTCGGAAGTGATTGAGGTGGAATTGCTCCATTGGGGACTCAGGTTCCATTCCCGAGCGTCAGCGGATTCACAGACTGAGCAGATGTTTGTGTGTCTTGTCAGCGATCGAGTCCCCGAGCAGAGCGTGGGAGTCGGGCCATTTCATTCCATGCTCAAAACAAGTGAAACACACCTTCGAGATCCCATGTGAGATGCTCGCAGGCTCTGACCTTGAGCACTGATTTGCGGTGTTTCTTAAGTGATTTCTTCATCAGAAATGTGGGATTCTAAAGCAGCAGGTGTTCTGGAGAATACGTTCGTGAGAACCTTCGATCGCTTACAAATTGGATAATTTCACATTTCTTATTGAGAAATTAGTTACAAATACTACCAATTAGCGCTCGTTATTTCACACTCTGGTTAGCGGGTCGTTTATTTTTAGATTTCATTCCATCTTTTATTTTGAAACGTGTTTTTAAATGTTTTCCCCCCGGAGAGTTATTGCTCTCCCTCCCACGAGTACCTCCAATAGCACCTCCAGCGAGATTGATTATTCCTGCTTGTCTTTGTGTCTGTCCCAGAAATAATGTCACTGGCACACGGTCAGACATAGACTCCTGTGAATCACAGTGAGCTTTGAAAAGTCTCGTTTTGAATCAGCTGTCAAGCTGGGGAGGGACTTTCATGGAGCTAGCTGGGGCAGCAGAGGAAGAGATCTTTCCCTCAGACTTGGCTCTGCATGTGGATGAGAAGCTGCATCTGCTTGTCATTTGCGCTTGCTATGTGTGTGCTCTTTGGGTGTGTGAGTACGTGAGTGTGTCTGCGCGCATGAAGGCCCCTTCTGTGTACTGCTTATTGCCTGCTCTGGTGTGTATTATTCAGTGTGTAATGCTGATGTGTATTCAGTGTGTAGCTGTTCTTGCTCTGGCCTGTCTGCAGGAATGTGTTGGTGCTGTTCACTGTAGGGGCTGGGGTGGGGGGAGTAAACATTTTTCCTCTTAAACTAGATAAACCCTCTGGTGTCACGCCTTGTTTAAGCCCTTGTTTTGAATGGCTGTCAAGGGTCACAGCACAGAGCCAGTCCCTCTCTGTAGGTTTAGTGGAGCCCGGCTGCTCATGTTCACTGGAGGTGGGGAAGCCGTGTGTGAGTTGTGCAGAGCCTGTGGGAATCTGAGCCACATTCACTTCTCTCCTGGGGCATTGAGCACAGCAGCATCACTGAGCCCTGGGAGGTGCCTGCTGAAGTGGACAGTGTTAGCTGTGACAGAGAATCCAACTCTAAAACTCCTGATTGTAAACAGATCAGCCACAAGCACAGCACTCCTGAACATCGGGGTGTGGCCAGTGATGTATTATTACTCTATAGTTTGTGTTATTGAACAATTGTCACAATTGTAGCTTCACATTCAGTTGCCTGAGCTGAATGCAGAGCGAGTGTAGACTGAGAGACACTGGCCTGAATTTAAGTGGTGTTGGTGGAGATCCTCTGCTCAGGGACTCGTTCAGTGAATTTCAATTAAATCTTCGGGCTCAGACACAGGAACCCGATTGATGTTGATATTAGATTGAGTTTGTCCTTCTGGACAACCATTTGTGGTGCGGAGAAAATCCAAGATGCTCACAGGCCATCAATAAATTACAAATTTAGAGTTGCTGTCACCAGCGCTTCCAGAAAGTCCTATCACGATGCATGTTAAAGACTTGTGTGCATGAAGCCAGTGGTGAAATCCTGAAAAACCCAGGAACCCAAGGCCCCAATTTCCATCTGGTCTAGCCCTAAGATTTCATGCAGAGTTGGAAAATTGTTTAGTTTCTTTGAAGCTGTTTCTTAAAAAGACCATTTTCAAAATGAGATGTTCTAACTTTTGTGTTACTCCAACTCAGGATCCATTACTTTGTCATTGTTGGATCAGCCCTTAGGGGCCCAGGTGCGTGTCTGCTCGGACCCAATTAATTCCAGAGCCAAGTTTTGCCGCGATTGCTTCTGAAGTAATGTGGTCAGAAATCACCAGGTTATTGAGCCTCTCTTTGTGACCTGCCACAATCTCAGCTCCCATGATATTAAGATGGATTTGATTCAGACGTTGCTGGTCACAACTGTTTCCATCTCCGGTGTTTGTGACCAGTAGCTGCAGGCCAGTCCCAGCGGCTGGATTTGTCCTGAGCTTCACATCCGCTGGCGCTTCACCAAACTCAGTGTTAAAGGCCAGACGTTTACAAAGGCCAGGGAGATGTTACGGACCTTGTCTCTCAGCTTGTGTATCTTACTCCCTGCATCTAGCTACCAAATAATCTCAGCAAAAATTTATCCACTAAAATCTTATTAATAAAGACTTAATTTCAGCTGTCAGCAAAAACCCAGTGTCTGTACGGGCAGACTCGCATGAACACCAGTCCATCACACTAGTAACTGGAACTCGCAATGTGTGGGAAAATTAGCACTTTAGTCTCTTAATTGAAATTAACGTTAGACGCTTTGTGTTCATTCTAGCTCCACCTCCTCCTTCATGTTCATTAATTCCTTCGAGTCTTGAACTCCCAATTACTGTATTTCTAACTGGATCCTTGCAGTCAGTCACTGTGTAACTTTACAATCGATTCTGGACCTTGGTTAGCTCAGTGTCTTCACGTTTGTCGAGTTGAAACTGATTGAAACCTTACATATCAAATTCAAACTGCACCTTTCTGAGTGTCTCATACTTTCACAGACTGTGTGTGTGTGTGTGTCTTGTCTGTCTGTCTGTCTGTCGGGGGTTGCTGGATCTCACTAAAAACATTATTTCCTTTTTTTAATTAATTATCCTCTTTTTAATTTTCTGTTTATTATCTGTCACTTGTTGACATTGTTAACACTACTCTCTCAGGCTTCTTTCTAAATATTTCTGAATTCTGTTGACGGACACATTATCATTTTACTGACCAGTAATCCTCTCTTGTGTGTGCAAGTACAATCTCGCTGATTGTACTTGCACATCTGCGCATATTTATTGATGTTCATGACCTCACATGCCCACCCCGCCCCATTACACATGTTAATTCAGCCACACCTATCAGTACATTTAACCAACGTAACCTTGCTGGGAGGGTCTTCTCACCTGGCTGCCACGTTGGGTGAAGGTATTGGTAGATCTAGGCAGTTCTCAGTCAACATAGACACAGCCTCCATCAGTGTATGAGGTGGTTCTCCCCCACCCCACCACCGCCCAATGTGGGTTTCAGTGGGACATGTGGGTGCTGGTTGGTGGAATTTAATAAACAGGAAGCTCACACCCGTTGTACTCGGCATGGAGGGGGAAGGGTCCATGCACACATCAGTTGTTTGATGCGCTGAATGCTGACCTGATCCCAATCTATGTACAAATGTTTGTCTTTTAACGCTTCAAGATCTGGCAGGATTTGAGTGGCTGTCCGGTGACTGAGCGGTACACTGGGCAGTGCCCGGTCACACTAATGATGTAAATGTGTAAAATTCTCAGTGATGCGTTTTCTCATGTAAATATCTATTGTATTTATATAACCAATAGACTGGTGGGATTCACAACCAGTGGTCTCAAGCCAGCTGGTTAAAGTGACGCCGGGGTATACAGGTGCTTCTTAACTTACACTGGCAACAGACTTCTTAACTTACACTGTAACAGGCGAGGCTGTAAACAGGCAAGGAGTGGTATTTTGTGTGAGGCACAAACTCTGGACCAGGTTTTGCAGTGAGAGCAGCTTGAAGCTCCTAATGCTTTGAGTTACCAGCTGGAGGATAACAAGAGAATAAATTATTCTTTCCCATCCATCTATCCCCACACCTAAACCTAATCTTAAGTCACAGAGCAGACAACATAGCAAGGAAACTGGCAAAAGGATGTGCGTTGGCCAAAGGGTGTGTGTGAGCAAACAAATACCTGCTTGGGTTAAATGTCCTTTACACATCTGTAACCCTGTGAGACTGTTTGTCTACAGTTTGATTTGGGGAATAGAATCAGCCCCACACTGGGGATTGCGGATTGTCACACAATGAGCTGGCTGCTTATTCTGTCCTTTGTTCAAGAATTAATGGATGAGATGTCCAGAATGTGCTCAGCACATTATTTTCCCTTTTTGTTTTGCTCCCTTTAACCAGAAGCTGTTGAAAGGTTTTGGAACAGTTGGATTGATGGGAAGAGCTAATCTCTGTGTGACGTGGATGATACTACAGAGAGATCTCTTTCCCTCATGCAGGATAAAGGGAGAGGAATCCTCAGAGCTGGGGGACACGTGAATTGTCACTGGGCAGCTGTATTCCTCTCCCCAACTCCCTCAAGCATTGAACCAAGCACCTGAGAGAAGCCCTCGCCCACTTGACTATGGTTGATTGCCTCAGTTCAGTTTCCTAAATCCATTGGTTAATGTAATTTCTGCTCCTTTTATAAGTGCTTCAGTTTGCAGTGTTATTGTGGTGTAATGAGCATTGCATCAATGAGAAGAACCAGGGTTACATTCACCACAAATTAAGCTTGGATCATCTCGGGGAAGGAGCCAGACTTTCCACAGGAGCTTCCCTGCAGAGAGAATGGGCAAACACCATCCCCGGGACATATCTCCAAGCCCACCAACTCGCTTTTCATGTTACAGTCACTCAAGCAGATGCTTGGGGGCTGCTCATGTGCTCACCACCGGGGGAGGGGGTAAAGCTTGCTCAGGATTGATGCAATGGTGCAATTTTAGCGATAGGGGAACATAGATATTGGTCATTACACTAAGTGGAGCCATTGGAAAGAGAAACAGTTTTGTATGGTACATTAGTGGACAGTTTGAAAATCAGTGCAATATGGAATGACAATTAATGGCTTAACCCTGTTTATAACCTACTCACTCTACTTTCTACAAGCCTAACAACTTGCTTGGTGTCTCAAGGTCAACTGGCTGGACTGAATGGATTAGGCGTTTGTATGGATTCTAATAATCATGAGTTTCTAATTTATAAAATGTGATCTGATGGAAATAGATAATAAAGGTTCCTCTGGGTGATTTGTATTTCTGGGATGTGCTAATAAAGGTAAATGATTTGACAACTTTGGGAAATCAGTATGTTGTATCATTTGTGACTGAAATCAGACAGAAACTCCAGGCGGCTCTGAGGTCCTACATGAATGAGGTGAGTGATTACAGGAGGTTTGTAGCTGAGGATCAGTGGGTACCTTGTGGAGCCCTGGATACTGGGTTCTCCCTTGAGAAAGATCTGGTGTTTGATTGAGGATATGTGCAGGGGGGCGGGGGAGGTAAACAATAGAGGGGCTGTACTGGAACCTCTCTTGTTCCTTGTAAATGTTAATGACCTGGATTCACGGACCCAGTGTAAATAGTTATATTCGCAGAAGACATCAAAAGTTTTTTTTGGAGGATGAACCACAGCATCAGAGGAGGTAGTGGAGGACTTCACTGATCAGATATGTACAGGGGCTGATAACTGGCAAATTAAGTTTAATACAGTCAAATGCAATTTAATACATATACTATCCAAGAACAGGAAACACAATTGGCTGCCTGTTTCACCCATAAAATATAGTCGTTAGACTTTACAGTAAATCCTGTGAAGCGTTTTGAGACGTTTCAAAGATGTGATAAGGCACTATATCAAATGCAAGGTTTATTATTATTAAACCAAGTACTCCATGGATGGGTCAGATTTTGCCAAGGGGGAAGGTGAAAGAGACTTAGGGGAGGGGTATTCGTTGATTTGTCTCTCACTATGCCAAAAAAAGTGAGGCAGCAATAAAAAAAGGCAAACAGGATGTTGGGCTACATTGCTAAATCAGTTGAGTGTAGATTCCCAGACATCATACTCAGTCTGTAAGGTTCTGGTCAGACTGCATCATGAATATTGCACATAGTTCTGTCACCGTGACATAAGATCCAGAAACAGTGCAGAGGAGAGCATCAAGGATAATCCTCCGTATCAGAGAAATAAACTGAGCAATGATTAGACAAGCTCGGGCTCGTCAGCCTTGAGAAAGGCAACTCAGAAGGGACCTTATAGAGATTTATAACATTTTAACTGGGTTTGAAACTCAAGTTATTTCGGTGTTCTCAGATTCCACTCGCACGTGAAGCAAACTATATGAATGCAAGTTGTTGTTGAGAGATGCTTGATTGTGAGTTAAGGCTGAACATTACAAAGTGGGAGGGCACAACAGATGGGGACTGAAGGAAAGCTAGGCTGCGAAGTGCGTGGTGCTGAAGGTGAATTTGCACATTGCCATATTTATGTGCAGGTCCTGCAGCAAGTCAACGACAACACTGAAAATGCCATTGAGTCTTGTTTCTCGCTGACTGGTTTCCTCTAACAGCTGCCCGTGACAGGATGAGTTCAAGAGGTCTCTGAACAGAGATGGGTATAACAGCGCCAAGCCAAGCCCGACTCAAGCTTTTTGTGGATTTTGTTGCTCCTGGGAAGGACAGGTGGGAAGAGGAGGCCATTCAGCCCATCATGCTGGCTCTATCTTATTGCAATGAAACAAATTGCAATTTAAAAAATGCCTCACTTCTCAGAAGTTCAGAAGCGATGATCCTTTACATTTGATTCACACCGTTCACACCAGGGGGATGCCTCAAAGTGCTTCATCGAATTTACTGTATTCGTGTAAAGTAATAATAATAATCCTTACATGTGTCATTGGGACTGTAGTGACTGTGCATTTTGTAGTTGAACGCATCTCTCATCTGGAGGAATGTCACCAGGACCCAGAGGAAACTCCTGAGCAACACATCGATCGTTCATGGCTCGGGTTGGCCTAAATAATAATGTAATGCATTTGGTACAGCGCCTTCTCACCTGGTTGAGACGTCTCAAAGCACTTCACAGGATATACTGTAAAGTGAATTGACCGTATATTTTGTGGGTGAAACGCGGAAGCCAACTGCGCACAGCAGCGTCCCCACAAACAGTCGTGGAATAACATAAGAACATAAGAATTAGGAGCAGGAGTGGGCCATTCGGCCGCTCGAGCCTGTGTCCCGCCATTCGATAAGATCATGGCTGGTCTTCAGACCTAACTCTAATTACCTGCTCTATCCCCATATCCCCCAATCCCTCTATTTTTAAAAAAATCTATCAGTCTCAGCCTTGAAGATGTTCAAGGACTGAGCATCTACAGCCTTCTGGGGGAGTGAATTCCATAAGTTCACTACCCTCTGAGTGTAGAAATGTTTCCTCAACTCTGTTCTAAAAGTCTGACCCTTAATTTTCAGACTGTGACCCCTGGTTATAGATTCCCTACCGGGGAAACAGTCCCTCAGCGTCTACTTTATCAGATCTTTAAGAATCTTATAAGTTTCAATAAGATTTCCCCTAATTCTTCTGTACTCTAGAGAATACAGCCCCAGTTTATTCAGCCTCTCATCCCAGGAACTAACCGAGTGAACCTACGCTGCACCCCCTCGAGGGCAAATATGTCCTTTTTTTAAATAAGGACCAAAACTGATTGAATGGGTTGTTGCTGTGTTGTACCCCCACATTCACTCCATGGCTGTCTTGTTCACCTACTAAACAATCATTGTTAAGCGCTCCGAGACCCCAATTACCTCCTTTACCTCCCCCCCATTACCTCATGTCCCCCCCTCCCCATTACCTCATGTCCCCCTTTCCCCCCCTCCCCACCCCATTACCTCATGTCCCCCCCCCCATTACTTCATGCCCCCCCCCCCTCCCATTACCTCATGCCCCCCCTTCCCCATTACCTCATGTCCCCCCCTCCCCATTACCTCATGTCCCCCTCTCCCCATTACCTCATGTCCCCCCCTCCCCATTACCTCATGTCCCCCCCTCCCCATTACCTCATGTCCCCCCTCCCCATTACCTCATGCCCCCCCCCCCCTCCCCAGGAGGAGGAGAGAGCGGTTCTCGTTCAAACGTGACATCAACACAACGGGCAAAGCGCAGCACGTGACCAGGAGAGGGCGGCACAGGCGCGCGCAGTGGCGGTTGCTGTGGGAGACGCGGCGGCTGTGAGGCGGGGATCGGCGCCGGCACCAGGTACAGCCCCCGCCCCACCCCGACAGCCCCTCCTCACCCCCGCGCAGGTAGTGAGCTCCCCCCCGGGCCCGCTCTCCCTCCCCCCCCCCCCCGGGCCCGCTCTCCCTCCCCCCCCCCGGGCCCGCTCTCCCCCCCCTCCCCCGGGCCCGCTCTCCCCCTCCCCCCGGCCCGCTCTCTCCCTCTCCCCCCCCGGGCCCGCTCTCCCCCTCCCACGCCCCCCCCGGGCCCGCTCCCCCCCCCCGGGCCCGCTCCCCCCCCCCCCCGGGCCCGCTCCCCCCCCCCCGGGCCCGCTCTCCCCCCCGGGCCCGCTCCCCCCCGGGCCCGCTCCCCCCCGGGCCCGCTCCCCCCCCCCCGGGCCCGCTCCCCCCCGGGCCCGCTCCCCCCCGGGCCCGCCCCCCCCCGGGCCCGCTCTCCCCCCCCGGGCCCGCTCTCCCCCCCCGGGCCCGCTCCCCCCCGGGCCCGCTCCCCCCCGGGCCCGCTCCCCCCCGGGCCCGCTCCCCCCCCCCCCCGGGCCCGCTCCCCCCCTCTCCCCCCGGGCCAGGATTGAGCTCCTTTTGCAGGTGTTGCTGTTCTTGCAGTGTGTGTGTTGGTGTCGGGGTTACATTCCTATTGCATTGAATCTGTGCAGAGCTGCGGCTGTGTGTGTGTGTGTGTGTGTGTAGGTGGGGGGGCACTGCGGTGGGCGACACCCGGATCAGTGAGGAGCCGATGTGTGTGTGCGGGTTGGGGTGGGGGGAGGGGAGTCGGTGTGTCGAGTAGGGTCCGTGTGGTTGGTTAGTGCGGCTATTGGTTTCCAGGGGGTGGGGATGTGGGGGGGAATGTACTGCATTCTGCTGCGAACTTGCATTTGTCTAAATTTTGCGTCAGTTGCTGTGTTGTTGTCTACGATAATGATAATAATAATAATAAATCCCTGCATTTGATACAGCGCCAGATCACGTCTCCGAGACGCCTCAAAGCGCTTCACAGGATATACTGTAAAGTGTAGTGACTTGTGTATATTGTGGGCGAAACGCGGCAGCAGCGTCCCACAAACAGTCGTGGATCGAAGTGACCAAATTTTGTTTTTACGTTTTCTTAAATGTGCATTTTTTTTTTCCTCTTTGGCTTCAGCTTAAATTGATCTGTATTTTCCGCTTGCGTGTGAGAGAGTGAGAGAGAGAGAGAGAGAGAGAGAGCGGCAGTGTCTGGAGGCTTGTGCTTTCCGGGTATGTGGTTATCAGGAGCAAGTCTGTGGGATCTCAAGGTACAGGATATTTTTTCACTCTTTCTTTCTGTTGACCCTTGCAAGAAAAAACCTAAAACTAATCCTTGTCAAAGATAAATTAACATACCGGTTTAAGGTATTGCATTTATTAAAACATAGCATCAATTTCCAAACAAAATGATGTACAGTTGGTTAAAGCGTTATGAAAGGAGCTGATCTGTTGAGAGAGTGCAGTGTTCTTTTTGCCAGCTTCTGGATTTGAAGATTACAAAATAAGTGGTACAGCTTTGGTGACATGGCACACGGCGAAATATCAGCCATTGTGCTCTCAGCAAGACTCAGGAATTCAAACTATTCAACGATGCTGTACTCGGTGATGTAAAGACTTTTTTTTTTGGTCAGCCGGGTGTCTGACACATGGGGAGATCCATCACCATGCTTAAGCGTATCCAAACCAAAACGAGAATTCCATGTACATGTGAAAATTCGTTGGAGTGGAGATAAAGAGACATTAAAAGGGAATTCATTTGCAAAAAATTTTTTAAAAAAATTCTGATCCGATGCTTCCTTGTATCGGGATTGGTATGGAAATGGTTAATCCTTTAGATATCTTTGTGTATGACGTCAGCCCTCCTTGTTTGGTATGCTGGAGGAGCAGACTGCAAATCTGCAAATTCAGATTGATTAGCAGACACTGACGTATCTACACGTTGTGCCGTGAAGTGTTAAGACCGTGGGTGCACACCCCTTTGATTTCTCCACTGCCAGTAATGCTGAGAGGGAGGTATGGGGGGCTGTGTGTATAACTGTCTCCTGACTCCTGTCACCCATGACACCTCCGGGGAAGGTTCAAGAATGTGAACCTTTCTCTGAGTCAGCAAATTCTGAAGGAAGAAAAGCGCAATTTAAATAATATGTAATTATAAATCTCAGTAGGTTGGTTGATTTGATACTCATTTTATATGCAGAAATGTAATAGAAAATTTTGCAAACCAATTCCATTTAAGGTTCGGTGCAGATGAGATGACGATTTTTAAATTTGTTCAGAAACCAGATTTGCTTTCATATGAGAGTAAAAGGGAAATCCCAGAGGTCAAAACCAATGTAGCACTTGTATTCTCACTCCAGGGGTCTCTGCAGTATTTACAATGCATTTAGTTTCTGCTGAGCACAACAGCAAGGACATGTATAGGAGATCGAACGCTCACTTGTGCAGTACTAGGTACTTGCGGACACTCTGCTGGCACGAAGCCTCAGGGCAGAGAAATTAATCTATGGTCGATTGAATTTACAGGGGTACACAGAGAACTGTTGTCCTTTTTAAATTAACCTCCCCTCCCACCACATTTTTGTTTACCCAACCGTACCTGAAAGTAGTGACTCCCATTGGTATGTAGGTCTGGGAGCAATCATAGACCTTGTGCCTTTTCTGAGTGGCTGTGAGTATGTTGTGAGCCCTGTTGCCTCTGCATATATACATTCCCAGCAGAGGTTGGTGGATTGCTATTGGTAGCAGGAATTCTCCTCCTTCTCCAGCACACAAACACAAAGGAAGTTTGTGTCCTCACTGCCACATGGCTAAAGTAGCCAGCTCAATCCACAAAGGCCAAATCTGGGATCTCTGTTGTTTGGTTCAGTGTCTCACCATCTGGTTCTTTTAGGTACTGTGACCATTTGATAATGTTCTTCCCTATTTATCTCAGGTCTCTGTGTATGACACACCAGCCCCTGAAGAGACATATGGATAACTTGCTTCTAGGAATCTAATACTATATCTTTCTGTAACCAGCTGTGATGCATTTGGCGGCCCAAGATATTTTGTGTTTCCTTGCATCTGAATTTGAGGGAGAGTAAAATGTCAAGATTCAAATAATTTAAAACCAAAGCTGTGGACTGTGAGATGGTAATTGCACGCAGCCTTTGTAAATGCCATCAGATATTCTGCTAATGGAAGCTTCTGTCCTACTGCAATAAAGCTTTTGAGAGCTGAATGTAATCTGGCTAATTGCATTACTGTGCACGATAACTGCTGTTTGTCTCTTGCAGGCTTTCAAGCTGCAGCAGTGATTAACCGCTCCTTATATAATAACACAGGACAGCAAGGAAGAGATGGTCGGACATAGAGCTGAAGCATTATAATCACACCAGAACTATTTAAAGTGTCATCATTCTCCTGAAATAGAAGGCAGCAAAACAAGCTATTGTGGATCTAGAGGATACCAAAGAAGAACAATACCTGAAAAAACACCATCTGGCTATTGAGGCAAATTCATACAAATAGGGACAATATTCACAAGAACTCGAATATTATATAAATGAAAAAAAATTCAAGATAAATTCTGATACTTTTCAGTCTTTAACCTGCTAACTAAGCCTATTGTGGAGAGGCAAACCTGACTCTTATTAACCAGGGAATCCAAGCATTGCTCTTTCTAGAAAGGCCTGTAAATTGACCATCGTTTGAAAACTCCTTATTTCAAGCCCTGCTCTGGGGGTTCCTTTGAAATTCAACGTACTCCTCGCAGAAGAGAGAAGCTTTCTCATGTTGTAGAGAAAAATCTGTTGAAATGGGGAAGTCCAACAGCAAGCTAAAGCCTGAGGTTGTGGAGGAACTGACGAGGAAAACCTACTGTAAGTATAAACCAAACTTTTGAATTTCAAAAGTTTATTAATGACTAACCATTTTGATTAAATATTCAGCTGTTTCAGTTTCCCACGTGTGTACGATTCTTGTAGTGTGTGAGAGGTGTGTGTGTGTGTGAAATTGAAAAAGAGAGATAAATAGAGATTCAGGCTATTTCCTCTGTTGTACTTATCTCTGTGTAAACAGGCATGAGGAGGTGCAGAAGAGCAACCTAAACTGATTCTCACCTTCTGACTGCTGACAAGCGTCACAATATGCATCTATTAGGACTATCCTACCCATCCATACTTTGACTCGCAGAAAGAAGTTCAAAGTTTCACTGGTGAGCCAAATGACTTAGATGACTGCAGGCATCCAAGCTTTTCAAACCATTTCAGCCCCATTGCTGCTACACTTCTTACCTTCCTCCTCATGTTGTTGACCTTGGAAGGCTGAAGGATTGGGATCTTGTGTTCATCTGAATGAGCTATTTGTGAATATTGACAATTGAAAGCTCTGTTGTGTTACATTTCTGTTTCAAATCTTCCATAGTAGTTTTGTGCTGAGATTGAGTGCTATATGTACAAGGATCTGGCATTTGCCGTTTCTTTTCAGCAGCCAAGATGGTGTCCTCTGGCTCAGTTTCTGGTTTGATGGGGAGATGTATGGGGAGCCACAATATTGCATATAAAATGTTTGTGGGACACTGCTGTGCGCAAATGGCTGTGACGTTTCGCCCACAAAATATACAGTCAATTCACTTTACTGCAAAAACTCTGTGAAGCGCTTTAAAACGTCTCAAAGATGTGATAAGGCTCTATATCAAATGCAAGGATTATTATAATTTAGATTGACTTATCCTAAATGAACCACTCTTTCTCCCCCCCCCATTGATTGGTAATTACAGTACAAAATTACATTTGGAAAGCGCTTTTCATGTTGAGAGGATGCTCCAAGGCGCTGAACAGTCAGGGATTAGGACCGGGGGTGGTGGTCGTCTTTGTTTTATTACCGTATTTCATTGAATTCCAATTAGCTGTATAAATATCTTCACAAATTTGGTTATTAATGTAACACTCAGTAATGCACTTCAGACATGAGGTATCGGGTTTTGGGTCAAATTTCAATTAGCTTGTAATCATATTCAGCGCTAGTAATATGTATGTGACATAATAGTGTATTCACAATAAAGGATTTGTCCAAAATGTTTATGTGAAACAAAATTTGGTATTAAAATTTAAGATAGAGCAGGCTTGTCATGAGTACTCCGCAGAATTTATAACGAATAATAATAATAGTCCTTGTATTTGATATAGCACATTTCATGTCAGGAGGATGTCTAAAAGCGCTTAACAAGATGTTCTCTAAAGTGTAGTGACTCAGTATTTTATAGGTGAACACAGCAGCCAATTTGTGCACAACAATGTCTCACAAACAGTTTGTGTTTAAGACAAAAACACATAGTGCTACAAATAATTTGGAGAAGTAGTGTTAATGTTAGTGCAGTTTTGAACCGGGAATTATTTATCATTCATAGGGCAAAGATTATTCTGCATTTTAAGTCTATAAAGTGACTTGATGTGTTTTGTTTTCCATAACCCTTTTGAGTTCCACCGTCTAGGGTTTATAAGAATTCAATTATCCTTTCAAATGTTTGGTTTCATCTCATGAGAAGCTATAGATTTCTGTGCCTGTTCGTAACTTTCTGTCAATGTTACTCTTCAGTTCCAAGGAGACCTGTGACAATGCCGAATCTTCCTCATATTACTATCCCATTTATGGGAGGCACCTTATCTCCAACTACTTCCTCTTCTCCAAGACGTTGTCCAACGTGATGGGAGTTCCATAAATTCAAGTTATTGTTGTTCCTCCCAACACCAACATGACTGAGATCAGAATTTAGTCATTTGTTTCTCTCCTTCACATCATTGCATCACCCGGTTCGTAATTGACTTCTGTTATTACCTTCGCTTCCTTCCCCTCCACCCCTCCTGATCCAGTCCCCAGATAGGGTCCAAATCCTCGACTGTCCAGTGCCTTGGGCCGACCTCCTGACATTAAAGATGCTATACAAATGTAAATTGTTGTTATAAGAAAAAATGCTCATAGTTTTACAGTTTGGGAAATGTGCCTTCCGAATCAATCAGAAACATTTGCTTTTTGAAGTTTGCATTCATTATCTCTGCCGTTGCCACAAGCCATCAACATTTATTTTGGTAACACCAGACATACTTAAGTAGGATGGAGGACAGGGAAACTCATGGAACTGTGTGCTTAGACTTATTTGTTCAGAAGATGACACATTAGTTTGGGTTTGATCCGACTCACTGGGTTTGGATGGCAATATGTGGATATATTTTAAGTTGTTTTGTTTGTTTAGCATTCCTTTTGTTTTCACTGAATGAGAATGTAATGGATGTATTTTAGGCTCTGTCCAAACTTATTACATTTTTTCAGTATTTTGCTGATGAAAGGAGGTGGCTGAAAGCAGGCCAAAACAGTGTCAGGAAATAAATGCTCAATCATGTTGGAGAAGAATCTTATTCCTCTGCAATATGCTTTTATAGTTAGACGTTTTTTAAAAAAATGAGCTCCCTTCTGAATAAAATGAAAAAAACTGCGGTAAGATTTACTGGAGCAGATCCTTTGTAAATCAACTGTTAATCAAATGTGGTGCTCTTAATGATTGATTTGAAATGCGCTTCAGGTGCTACGGGTGAAATTACCTGCCCATAACCAGCTAGCGTAAAGTGCTGCAGTACTTTTTTTATGTGTATTCATTCACGTAGCATTACTCCATTAAATGGTGCAGAGATGGACTTGCTGCTATGATGTTATTTGCCAGCGCCCTTACAACACTGAATCTATCAGATTGAAAATGAAAAGTAGATGCAATTTGCTAAAAAAAACAGAGGTGAGAATCTGAATTAAGTGAAATTCAGTTTTCTGTTTGAAGATTCTACAGGTGGGGGTGTGGGGGTGAAATGCGGAGACAGTTGAATGTTTTCTCAGTGGAAGAATGTGTTTTCTGTTGGATTTCCTGGTCTGCACAATCCGGGAATAAACTCAGCTTTGCAGATCTTGGAGCATATCCAGAACGTTGTATGCTTTCCATCTGCAGCAGTCCATGAAATTACATTTAAAAATAGTACCCCCTATTTTACACCCAAACATTTACACAGCGCTTTCCTGTGCCTTACAGTCTTGTCCTTTCATCAGCGGATCCCCACTGTTTGGTCAGTTGGGAGCGTGCATACTTCTGGGATATGAGTTGAGGGAAGAAATAAACTGATTCACATTGAGTAATATTGCAAAGTCCACTCCTTTTTGAACTAGGGTACAGTGTTCTGACCAATGTCTTTCTCTCTCCCCAGCCCTTTTCACCGCTTTGGGACACAAACGCAAGTTTTTGTTTATAACCTTTATATAATATTGGTGTAGCTTTATAATAAAACATCCAATTTCTGTTCCCCTCTATATGGTTTACATTTTCATTTACGTTCTGAATGTTCATTTGAGATAAACCTGATTGTTGTGTCCTCGTATTTCTTGCTACTATCCAATCCAGTAATAATGAGTTAGAGGTTAGATCCATGGTTCCCCTCCGGCAGCCAGAATGTCGACAAAAGTAGAGTAAAAAAAACATCTGGGTGGTGAATAATATTTCAGAACACAAAGGCTCATTATTTTAAAAAAAATTAAATTCCGAAAAAAAATAATAGGAATCAACACGTCAGATGACTTGGTAATAGTTGCCATTAGGATTAGGGTTTCAATGTCTGCCACAAATCTGACACCCAAATCAGCTGAATCAGTGAGCAAGGCCATGTGATTCCAAGTCCCGACATGGGACTTGAACCCAAAATCTTCTGACTCAGAGGTGAGAGTGACACTGAGCCAGGCTGACACCTAAATCAGCTCGGGCCAGGCTTTGTTTTGGTGGAGAAATTAAACTCTGACCAAGGTTCAGTGGCTATGAGTTCCAGTTTATCTGGTTATTCTGATCGCTGTGGTGTTTTTTGTTTTGATTTAAAGGCTTTCTTTTAGATCAGGAGTGCCATGTCCAAATGGGTTTGCAGTTGCTTAAAGTGAAGCAGTGTTACAATACAAATTACAATGCACATTTACATCGGGAAGACATCGCTAAGCCTTAATAGCTTGCTTAGGGAGAGAAAAAGGGAAAATGTCAAGGCCGTGTAAAGAAAGTGAAAAATGCCTCATTCGAAAGTCAGCCATCATTATGAATGTACTGTGGAAATTGGAAAGAAATAATGAACCAAGACAATATCTGATTACAATTGAAAGGACAAGCTAAGTAAAATACATTCAATACATGGTTATGAAGTTGCAGTATTCCAAAGAAACTGTTGTGCCAAGATCAAATTGTCAGCTAATATAGCTATTTTTATATTGTGAAAAACAAGCAGTACTTCTACTCTGCCAGCATTCTTTTGGATAATAATCCTTGCACTTGTTACCTTCTCGTGCCTTGTATGCCTTCATGTGGGGAGGATGTCTCAAAAGTTTTGCACAGAATTCACTAATGTAGAGTGACTGTATTTTGTAGGCCAATGTCTACACGGTATATTTCTGTAAAATATAAGGGTTGATTCAGGTTCCGACTACCTTCCCCCCATCCTACAACTGGACTGTTTTCTTGACTTCAAATGTACATTGTTCAGTTCATACTGAGATAAGACGACAGGCACTGACCTTCTGATGGGTCCCTTTCAGCATAATCTGAGCGAGTGTCATTTCTTTTTGGCAGCCTACACATGGAAATCCAAGAGATCGATTGTTGAAATATCTCCCTGGAGAGACGCATTCTGCTTACCTAATTCCGAAAAGTATTAGGCACAGTGTTGGCAAGAACCAAGGCTTGGAGACCCCAGAGTGTGCGTTGGGGTAACTTTTGGAGTCTAACCAGCTAAAACTGCATAGTTTGCCATTGATATTGCTGTCTGGCAAGCTTTCCCGCTGCTTGTCCAGCTAGGACTGCCCTACCCAT